AAAAAGGAGAAAAATGTAAAAAAACAAAAACTGCATATCTTACAAAAGCAGAACATGACCTAAAACATGGTGCTGAAATGTTCTTTTCCTGGTTTCATCCTTGCTCCCCGGAGTAGTGTTTTGAAGAGAGAGAAAAAAAGAATATGATCAATGGTCATACACGACACGTTTAACAGCTTTTTGAACTTTTCTTGACCGTTATCAAAATAGATGCTCATTGTTCCATTCTTCCATTTCCCCACCGTCTGCTGTCCTCCAGCTTTGCTTGTCTGAAGTAAAAGAGTTTGTTTTAAAATCGGAGTTCATAGAAAATATCTTTGTTTTTGTCCTTTGTGTGGAACAGTTTGTGTTCCTGGAGTGTCTAGTTCTTCACACAGGGAATCTCAGCTCGTGGGACCCCTCAAGAGTCAGTCGGGCCCCAGATGAAGATCTAACGCAGGGTGACAAGATCAGCCAATTAGGACGCACGCATGCACGCACACACAGTGACTTGGGGGAATCAGTCAAAACCCACCTCTTTACTTGTTATGCTGGTACGAGTAGGTTGCATGTTCTGTTGGTGTCTCTATGGCAACAGGTTGTTGGACGGCACTTTCCTGAGAACGAAGCACCAAATGTTTAATTAATCTGCAGTTATGTAAAAGTTTGAGTGGTAAATGTTTCCAAAGGGAGGGGAGAGGTGGAGGGCAGTACCTCAACTGAGATGTTGGTGGCAGGCACTTGGGTGTACTGGGGTATGTAGGTCCCCTGCATAGATGTGTTTGCAGGCATATACTGGAAGAGAATGGAAATGATAAGTTCATTAGCTGTGTGAATCTGCACCCGGAGAAGAATTCAATTAAAAAAGGAGGTTAACCTCAAAAGGCACAAACCACACAACTCTTAGCCTGGCCTTTCTCATAGCAAATACTGTGCACTGTACTTACTGTACCACTGCTGCCCATAGAGAGGTGGCTGAGCTGCTGTGTTAGAGGCCCCATCATTGATGCTGGCTGGATGGACATGGTGTGGTCCATCCCAGGTGTCAGGACAGCTCCCTATGGGGGGAAACAAACAAAAAACACTCTTTATACAAACATCAAGAATCAAAGCTAAATTAAAAGGGTCTTGAGAGAAACAAAAACAAATAAAGTGCCAGATACTCACTGTGGGAGGCATTATGTATGACTGGTGATGTAGCCAGGATGGGTTGTGTACCTGCGAGAAAATCAAAGACGTGTCAGTTAATATAAAAACACACGTGCAAAAACTAGGGATGCACCGATACCGATACTGGTATCGGGTATCGGGGTCGATACTGTAAAATGTGTGTGTACTCATACTCGTAAAAGTTAACCGATACCATGAACCGATACCAACTTATTTCATTAATCAGAGGGTGGCTTGTCATTTCTGTTGTAGTTTTTTAGATTGGCCACTAGGGGGACATCCCGCGCTAAACAGGCACAGGGTTAGGCGAGTGAGACTGGCAGCTCCAGATAAAAAAGAGAAACTGGAGGCTGCTGTAGCTAGGCTAAACAAAATGTCAGCAGTGTGGAACAGCCAACTTTAACTCAGGTTTTGGAAAAGCGAAGAAAAATGTCAAAAATGTCAAGAGAAAATCCACGGGCAGTTAAAATAACAGAGGCTCTGACTCATTTTATGGCTCTGGATGACCAGCCAATGCCGGTCGTGGAAAACATAGGATTGCACCGTCTTCTCAGCATACTCGAGCTGCGATATGAAATATAATAAATGAACAGAAGTGTTTATTTATTATTCTGAAAGCTCGAGACAGTGCCAATAGTTCAGTGATATTTTGTTAAATTACAATGTGGAGACTCTGCAATAATTTAACAGAAGTGCTTATTTTTCACTTGAAATTTTTTTGTGGTCATTTTTATTAAGATTTTATTTTTTATCGGCAGAGAATAAAATAAAACCTGTCTTCCAATTCATTGCATTTGTGTGTGTGCGTGTGTGTGGTAGAAGTATCGGTTTTTGTACTCTGTATTGGCAAGTACTCAGATCCAAGTATCGGTATCGTATCGGTTTGAAAAAATTGGTATCGTTGCATCCCTAGCAAAAACATTACAAAATAGTTACAGAAAATAAAGAAAATATGGCTGAAATATTAAAAACAAATTTTCAAACCAAAAGCGATAAAATTGAAAACACACAACAACCCCAGTACCTGATAGGTGGACACAGGTGGATGCATATATGGGGAAAGGGAGGTTGGTCCAATCATCCGATTGGGGGTAATGCTATAGGGGGAGGAGTAAAACCTGCAGAAAGAGGCACAGATTTCTTAGTGACCACAGCACAGACCACCACTCTTTGGGGCTATACAAGAGATTAGCATGAGCCAGCATACTGACCCATTCTGTAAGGCTGTGGTTGGGTCATAGGTGAGGGTCATCCCTCCCTGGAGGAAGAAAACAAAAGAGCAATGTCATTATGAGGGAGAAACATGAGGTGTTTGGATTTTTCACCCCCTACAGGCATAAAAAAAATAAAATATAAAAAATAAAGCTCACAGTCTCGCCATCTCTTGTCCAGGGCCGACCGTTCTGCAGATATTTCCCCTGGCTCTGGCGCTTCTTCTGGCCGCCATCAGCAAATTTACACAGCAAGGGTTCTGACGGTGCTGAACCAGAGGTTTTCCAAACAGGAGATAACACTCAGTTTTCTAAAACCGTTTTAATAAGACTTGTCTTGATGCTGAAATATGCTGAATAAATAAAGACAGTCTACTCAGCCACAAATTTAAAAACAACAACAACAAAAAACTCCAGAAAACTCACCTTGAACTCCAGGTGGAGTCTTGATATATTTCCCATTGAAATGCTGGATGATGGCCTCACATTTTTCTGTCGACTCCATCCTAAGGGACAGATTTTGTGCTTAATATCCATCACTTCTTTGAATGACAGTTTCTGCTTGAAAGGTTTCTACCTATAATGACCACCAGAGGGCGCACTCACCCAACACTATACTAAAAAAGTTGCTTTGAACTTTAGTACTCCCATTAGACTTGAGATTGTCTTAAATACACACAAGGTTACAGCACAACTAGTCGACTTCAGCCAGCTGTCCTAAAACAGCGTGTACCTGGCAAAGCCCACTCCTCGACTGGTTCCATTGGCGTCACGGAGGATGCGTGTGGAAATGGCCTGACTGAAGGGCTTCAGCATGTTCTCCAGCTCCTGCTCGTCCATTGACAGCGGCAAGTTAGAGATGTACAGGTTGGTGGGGTCTTGTTCCTGTTGCTAACCACAGAGAAGCCAGGGGGAGATGAATGATTTTGGGGCTCTTGGTTTCCTTGTGACAGAACAACAGCTGAGGCCATAGAAGCGTTCCAAGAAAATACAGCAGTCAGCAAACATTTGGGAAATTTACATAACCTTTGAACAGGAAGTGTGTGAGATGACTGATATTTGGAAGGATGTAAGGCAGAGGACATGAAAAAGAAGAAGCAAGAAAAGGCAGAAGGTCTGAAGCTGAAGTCAGATTTCATTTTGGACCCGTGAGACGCCTGGAATGAGGTCTGGAGAGAAAAGAGACGGTGAAGAAAGTTCTGGCTGGATTTCAGCTCAACTCTTTTCAGTTCTATTTCTATAGCTCACTATCACAAATTTAATCTGCGCAGATCTTCATTACACTCTTCTCTTATTTACCATTTTATTTCCAAAGAGTTAAAAAAAGGGGGTCATTGTTCAGAGCCAGGACCTTAAGAGGATGAAAGCAGGCGATTCAGCCACTGTGATATCAAAGCATAATTACATTTCATATGGCTCGCCATCCCCGGATGATCTAAAGCGATTACGTGCTCTCCCTTTCTCTCGCTTGGTGGAGAGAGAGAGAGAGAGAGCAGTGACATTTTGGACAAAGACCTTCGGGAACAATCTGGAGAACATCTCAAGCATTGTGCTAGCAAAAACGTGGTCGTTCCGTGTCCTCGATCATGTTACTAATGCACTGCTTGCATTCAGGCGGCTATATTCATGTGGTAATCCTGACCTTGAATGCAGGCACAGATGCTGGCTCTGTCGGCTTTTATAAACCAGAGAAAATATGCAGCGCTTCCAAATCGGAATTTAAAATGATTAGAAAACACGCTGAAAGAAAGTTTCGCTCTAAGCAACTTGAACTGTTTTGTAGGCTCCTCCCCTTCCAATTTCCTTTGTGCCCTGCTTAAAACAAATTTAATGTGACCGACGGTATCTTGTGAGATGCTCAGTCTGTATCGCCCTCTAACCATTATGCATATTCATTATCTCAGAGTGCAGATGTGATTAAAAGCCTGTAAATGCAGTGCGAGTTCATTTCCATGCCATGAATAATGCATGTGTAATCGCTGCGACCTGCGATGAAGGTGATTTCTCCTTCACCTTCCTCCCTCCCCGCAGCGTACACCAGCAATGAGGCTTGAACCCATGAGAGCGAGCAGCAGAGAAGCCCCGGTTGTGGATTTCATCTGTGAGTGAGTCAGAGCGAGTCAGAGAGAATTCTGACGCAAACACACGAGTCTTGTTGTAAACCCGGGATGAAAGGGCGACTGAAATCAAGTTATTTTGCGAGCAAGAAGCCGTATGAATGTCAGTGATCCAGCTTAACGAGAGATCAGCTTTCCCAGGGCGCCGGTGGTGTGCGAGTCCGCGAGAGCGTGTCATAATCCGGTCGAGGCAAGGCTGCTGAAGTGCGTGTGCGATTGTCAAGTGGGCTCTGTGTGTCTGTGGGCGTGCGTGTGACAGGGCGGCTGGCTGGGCACGGTGCCCTGCTGACTGGGGAACTGCTCAGACACTGAGTCAGATGCCACTAGGGAGAACAGACAGGTCCTTTGTGCAGGGAGCTCAAAGAGCAGGCTCTGGGACGTGCTCCCCAAACACCATCACCACTATAAACACATACATACATGTAAGCATCCGTGTACAGAAATAGTCTTATAGTGCACTATTATTGTGACAGCGCCGCAGTGTGCTGGCTGCACCTCTGAACAGCACCCTGCTTACTTTTCTGCAGAAGTTGTAACAACTGCTGATGTCATGAAAGCGTTTAGACATAAATCACCTACATGGTCAAGTTTCCAAATGCCGCCTTTTAATCATATGAGCAATGTTGCATTGAAGCTGTGCAACATGTTGAACTGTGAAAGCCTGAGGTAAGAACATCCTCACTAAAACACATGATTTTGTTTTCTCTCCCTGTTTAGTAATTGGTGTTTGAATGATTCTCTGGTTTAAAAATCCCTGCAACCCTTTCATTCTCTCTGTTACAGAAACTAGTAACAAAAATCTGACACTAACTAAGTCACTTGATATACAGTTAAATGTCAAGCACATGACATATGTTCCAGCATTACCAGAGGGCCTGTCTGGATGAAGCTGCAAGGACAATTAACATAAAAATGACTGTTTCTGAACAACACAATGCAGACTGATGAAGCCAGCAATTTTATGTTTGAGAAAAGCAGATTTAAGCATAAAGGAATATCTGATAGATTTTCTTTTTAAAAGAATAGGGCGCTGGAAACAGCGAGAGAGATCTGTTATTTCTTAAGAGGCAGAAAAATCCAAAGAGCAACCTTTTCCCTCTATGATTAATGACTCAACATTTAATGTGAAATTAATGAATCAAATCATTATTCAACATTTTGCTGACACACTGATAAAGTGCTCTTTCAGGCTAAATTAAACTTACACCAAGCCGTTATAAATTAACCCACCGAATTTTGATACCTCGAGCTGAGTTCTCACCTTGGCCATCTGAGCCTGCACTCCGCCTGCCTTCAGTGCCGTCACTGCCTTCTGAGCAGAGGCCGGGCTATCAAAGTCAACAAAGCCATAGCCTGCAGGGAACAAAGGATATGACAGTGAGATGTGCATACTGCAGGAGAGGTGCACGGTTTAAACTCGTGAGGTACTCGTGGTAACAGTGTATGAATCTGAAGAGACAGCTGGCTAGGACGGGAATGTGCGTCCCTCTGGGGGACAGATGGAGGACGCTGCCCATATTAAAAAAACAGAAATCACACAACAAACACCTACTCAGTAGGTACAGTGTGAAGCTGACCGCTTCATGCACTTGTCAAACAGCTTTATTGACTTTATCAGCAGTATGCTGTAACCTTGCACATTACCAACCCCAGCCATAGATTTCACATCACACCAACATCTTTTTTTTTTGGCTTCCCATGAAGTAAAGGAGTGATTTCTATAAACTATCAGACCCCACATGTTCTTGCTCTTTTATAGATTTCTGAACTTTGGCATCTCGGATCATCTGATCACGGCCTCTTATTTACACGCAAGCCCATTCGCCCAGTCCAAGGTTGACGGTGCTGTGGGCTCAGAGTAGTCCTCTCCTTCTCTGGATCTGCTGACGTTACAATCATTTCTCAAAAACTGTTTTTTACAGAAACTCTATTCCCTCTAATATGTTCATATTGGTTATTTTTTTAGCGATGTGTAACTATGAGCATTTTCACACATGCAAGCAAGCCTGGACCATGTTTTTAAAAAAAACAACAGAAGCAAAACTGTGACGCAAGGCAGGATGCAAATGTGTGATGCAGTCAGATCTGACAGTGAGTCTACAGACACCACAGAGGGACCAGTTGTGCTGCCTCCCCCACGTTCTATCAAGAAAGTATCTTGCCTAAATAAAATGAGGTATTTCTCCTCCTCCCACACATTTCAGTAAAAACCACGATGAGAAACTAGTTTCATATTTGTGGTGTAATTTTACCACTTGATATGCTACACAATGATCAGCTGACTAAAAGAGGTGTTAGTGAACTGAAAGGCCACATTTCAACAAATATTATGGATGAGCATGGAACAGCTGTGTTTTTTTCATTTAATTAAAAAACAACAACAACAACAACAAAACCCTCACCTTTGCATTTGTTGGTAGTCTTGTCCAAGATGGCCTTCGTGGACACAATTTTCCCATACCTGAAAAACAGTGAGGTTTGCACTCAGAGGTCGTCCTTCCACTGTGTATACATGTAATACTCTTGATAACTAAATTGTAAATCATCTAAAGATTTCAATAAAGTTACACAGTCACCTCATCTGATAATAAATTCAAGGCAGGGCAAATTCAGTCCCGTGGGCTTCTGCATTCTAGGAGGACTATAGATTTACCATATCTTATTCATTCTAGCTCACACACAAATGTCAATAGGGATCATGTCTCCAGGGAAATCCAACATGCTGTGGCAAACTGGTAGATATGAATGCCCCCATCAATTTTTTCAGCAATGTCATCATAATTCACCATAAATATGAAAATTCTACATTAACTACCCACACCCCTCGCCCCACCTAGCCGTAGATACTGCAAATACATAGGATAGTGTTCGACTTGGGCGAATGGTTCTGTGCAGCAGGGTCTATCAATTCCCATCTCTCCAGGCATGTGCATGCAGTGTAATCTGATATGCTTCTCCTTGGCTGTCCTGTCCAATACTGGCTCCCAGCCACACTCTCATTCGACTAACCAGCTTCTCTCTAGACAGCCTTTAACCCTCCACTGGGTCTTAGTGCCCCCTGAAATGTAA